GTCTATTGCATTAATTCAAAAAAATCGTATGTTAATTTTAGAATGGAAGACATGGATAAAAATATAAAATTTTGACCCATCCCCGCCCCTGGGCGCCCCACTACGCGGCCCGGGGTTTTTTGACAGTGTTGTACTATTTTTTGTCATTTTCTGGGGCCATTTTTTATAGGCATGCCCATAAAAATGTAAGGATTGTGTCTGCAAAATTTAAGATCTTTTTGACATCATTTTTATTTTATTTTATTTTTCAAAGATGAAAAATAAAGAAAATTATAAAAAATAGAATATTCGTCAAAAAATGGTATCGTTTGTTACATTATTTCTTAAAAATTGTAGATTAATTTTAGAATGGAAAATATAGATAAAAATGAAAATTTTTGACCCATCCAGGCCCCTGGGCGCCCCACTACGCGGGTCGGGGGCTTTTTAATAGTGTTTTACTCTCTTTTGTCATTTTCTAGGGCCATTTTTTGTAGGCATGCCCATAAAAATTTAGGGATTGTGTCTACAAAATTTATGATCTGTTTGACATCATTTTTATTTTATTTTATTTTTCAAATATAAAAAATAAAGAAAATTATAAAAAATAGAATATTCATCAAAAAATGGTGCCATTTTTTGTATTATTTCTTAAAAATTGTATATTAATTTTAGAATGGAAGACAGATAAAAATGTAAATTTTTTACCCATCCCGGCCCCTAGGCGCCCCACTACGCGGTCCGGGGGCTTTTTGACAGCGTTTTACTCTTTTTTGTCATTTTTTGGAGCCATTTTTTGTAGGCATGCCCAGAAAAATGTAAGGATGGTGTCTGTAAAATTTCAGATCTTTTTGACATCATTTTTATTTTATTTTATTTTCCAAAGATGAAAAATAAAGAATATCATAAAAAATAGATTATTAATCAAAAAATGGTGCCGCTTGTTGTATTAATTCTTAAAAATCATATATTAATTTTAGAATGCAAAACATAAATAAAAGTATAAATTTTTGACACATCCTGGCCACTGGGCGCCCCACTACGCGGGCCGGGGGCCTTTTGAGATCGTTTTACTTTTTTTTTTTCATTTTTGCGGCCATTTTTCGCGGGCATGCCCAGAAAAATGTAAAGATCGTGTATGCAAAATTTCATAATTTTTTGACGTCGTTTTAATTTTATTTGATTTTTCAAATACAAAAAATAAAGAAAATCATAAAAAATAGAATATTCATCAAAAAATGGTGCCGCTTGTTGCATTAACGGTTTTCACATATTGCGAGATGTAAAAAATAATAATGAAAACAAAACAATGTTTGTTTAGTAAATGTTTTAAAAACGAAAATGAAAACAAAAACAGTGAGAATGATTTTTGTGAAAGAATTAAAAAATACTTAAAAGTTATTTTCACTTTTCTGTTTTCATTTTTTAGTACTTATCAACTATAGTATAATATATTAATTAATAAACATTATTTCACTTTTTTATTATACTCAAAACAATCTCTTCAAAAACCAACCAAACGCAATTTCAGAATCGGTCCCAGAATGATTCTCAAAACAATCTCATTTTTACTTTTTATTGAAAGCAAAATCATTTTAAAACTAATTCCAAACACAGCCTTAGATTCTATTTTTTTAAGTACCCCACTTATTAAAAATACTCGTTTTAAAAAAACTCTATCACCTCACTAGTTTTAATCTAAAAAGTAAAAATATATAAGCTAGTGTTAAGGAGTAGAAATAAAATGGGCTCTATGTCAAGGGGCATTTGAAATAAAAGGGGTCTCCATGTCAAGGGGTATTTTAAAAAATTTTCCTTTTTTTTCTAAATTTATAGTTACACCCATTTTTTCTTATTTAGCTACCCCTAAACTTCTTAAAATTTCAAAGTGCCCCTACTTTTTGTTATTTTACCTCCAATTTTTGTATATTTTGACAACACTACTTGAGCTTATATATCTGAAGAATGGAACCAAAAAAAAATCCACAGATTAGTAGAAATTAAAGAAAAAAATAGTTAAAAGAAAAATTTTCAGTATTTAATCATGTTATTAATTTAATTTAAAACTTTAGAAAAAAATGTTTAAAACTTTAATTTAACTCTAGCCTCATCTGAATAAATTTTCTAGCTTCGTCACAGCATAATTGCATTGAGAATTGTATTATCGTATCATTTTGTAATTAGCAAAATTAGTAAACAAAGCCGTTCGTTATAACTGTATATAAGATATTGTAATTACAGCAACATGCATATATTTTTTTTCAGGCATCGACATAAACAACAGGAATAAAAGTACTGTTTAATTAATACGATTAATGTTCCTGGCTTTTTTTTTTTTTTTTTTTTTTTCAAATAAAGGATCGGATACAAAATCAAAGAAATTAATACATCCCAACTATATCGGCACCCACTAAAATTCTAATCATTCCATGCATCTGCCTCTCAAATATCATTAAATAATAAAAAGAAAAATTACATAATTGTTCAACAAATCACCTCCCATAAGGAGAAATAAAATGAAAAAAATAACAAAATCCAAAAAACTACACCGCAAGAAATGGAAAAAAATGACAAGCAGCTCGACGTGATCTGCTCCCAGTGTACGAGGCCTCCTTAAACACCTTTTCCAGTAAAACCCGATAGGAAAAACCCAGAAAAGGGAAAAAGAGTGCATGATCCACTTGGTTACTGATAAATCCAAAATCTTAATCTAATTCTGTATGAAGGCCGACCTTCCATATCTTGTGCTACGAGATCACTGCAAAATGGAGGAGTTGTGAACCACCATGTTGCTTCCTGCTTATGAACTCCCACCGATGCTAACTTATCTGCAACTTTGTTACCTTCTCTGAAACTGTGCGAAACTTGAATCTCCAGATTTCTCATTTTGCTAAGGACTTTCATCCATTTAGCCTTGATGTACTTCCAGGGAACATACATGGTACGAGAATTAAGGATGTCTACTACATAAGTAGAATCACTGTCAATCGATAACTTATTCTATCCATATTGACTTGCAAAGAGGATTGCATTAATAGCTGTCAAGAATTCCGCTTCATAAGTGAAAGCAATACCGATATGAATAGAGAAACAAACTTTGCAAAAGCCTCTATAAGTTATGAAAATGCCGCCACTACCCGCTGGACCAAGACTTCCATTTGTTGCACCACCGACATCGACTTTCATCCAATCATAGCAAGGAGGATACCAATTGACCGTCATAATTTGTGGAGCTTCCGGGACTCTACCTTGGACATTTAGACGCCGTAAAATCAAAAGATCATCGAAGGAATTATTCATGCCTCATCCTGCTAAAAATTGTCAACTTCTCAAACTAGGGAAAGAACGCTAGACACCAATACGAAATTTGGGACATTAGCATCTTCATGTACTATCTTGTATCGGAAATCCCGCATAATTGAAAAAGCTGAGATAATCGCAGTTCTCCAAATATGTACTGTGATCTGCTCGTTGAACTTCTGATTATAGGCTGAAAATAAAAAGCCTCTTGGTGTAGCTTGAGTGTATTATTTGCAGGTCTGCTGTAAAACTTTCCACATATATTGTTCAACAGTACATGATATCTGGATGCCAAATGAACACCTATCTTCCACTAATTATGCTCCGTCGGAATTGAACCATGTAAAAGATGCCAAACAATAAAAGACCTTCTACTTGCCGGCCAACAGAATTGCCCCCATTGAACTACAGGTCTCTTTGTTCTTGATTTGTTGTACTACCCTTTGACAGTCACAAATCCATAAATTTTGTCATTTTTTTGTAAAGAGAAAGACAAAATATTTAGAGTGGTTTAGCTTAATTTAGCCTACCCCCACTATAATAGCTGAGCTTTTTATTGATTTTTTTTTTTTTTGGGGTTCTAAACCCTCAAAACTCTCCATTACAAGTTCTCTCAGCATTAAAAGTAAGTAATAAAAATGTCAAGTCTTGTTGTGGAGCCAGCGTCCTGCCTCTTTCATCCTAGGTTTCTCCTATTTATAGGAGCCTTCCCATGATGATAACTGTCGAACACGGTTCACCTCACCTCCCCCCTCTTTGGTTTGATTTGTATCCTTCTTCTTATCTTGAGATCGTGAATCTTCCACCTAGTAACTCGGGAATGTGGGCAGTTACTCAAGATCACAAGTCTTGCACCTAAGTACTTTGGAACGTGGGCGGTTACTCGAGATTGTGAGTTTTGCAGAGATAGATATGGTTGAGAACTTGCGAGATTGTGAGGAAAGATATGACCTTGCTCGCATGTTGAGGTGACAGGTTTGTTATGTACTTGCTCTCAATGAGTAGGGAAAGGTCTCTCTCGCATGTGGTAGTTTAGGCTGAATTATGAGCTCACTATGCTCATCAAATTGTAAGCTCACGCCTTTGTGATCTCGGTCGTTTGCGAGCTCAGCTACTACGTACCCCAGCTCGCTGAGCTCAGATCCCACTTTTGTTCACTTAACTCAGGTCCAATCTTAACTTACTAGCTCAACATACCAATCTCAGCTCGATCGACTAGATTGAATTAGAGGATTGAATGGAGGGCATTTGAGCCGGGGGTGATGTATTCATGAAGTCATTTAATACCAATGGCTTATCTGAGTTGGGGCTAATTTGGGCTCCTGCCTTCGACGTTGTTGCCGTGGGGTACTAATATGGAGTTGTGAAAGATTTGGTATAGCAGGTGGGCATGTGTTTAATTAATAATGCTAAAAATATGAGTATATACTACACTGTTTAATTAATAATGCTAAATATATGAGTATATGAGTATAGTATAAGACGAGAAAAATGAAGTTCTATTAGCTATCTTACCCGAAAGTGATCAAAGATAAAAATCTTTATTTAATATCGAAAATGGACTTAATACAACTTGTTCCCAGATTAAACGTAGAAGTTACCAAAACACACGCAAAGTGATCCTGAAAAAAAAAAAAAAAAAAGAAAGAAAGAAAGAAAGAAAGAAAAAGAAAAAGAAAAAAGAAAAGAAAAGAAACGAAAAGAAACATCAACAACATACGTCATGCAACAACTTACGACGTCGATTATTTATAGTTCATCTATATATATATATATATATTTAATTAGCCATCGGCACTACATTATTTGGTCACATTATAACAGAGCTAGCGCGTACTTCAAGCGGCATAGTACAAGGGGTTGGGCAATTTGAAGGTTCTATGGCCGGCATTTGTACCCAAAAGATCAGTCCATTGATCCCCAATGTTCCCAACAATTCTGTATCCAGCATCCTCCAAATTCTTCCTCTGTTCAGCTTTGAAGTCTGCCGTTGTTCCAGAATAATCATCATCCCTGCAAACATTTATAATGATGTAGTTAAAATAATTAATACCATGGCACTAATTATAAATTATTTCTTTCACAAAGTTATATATACTGGGGGATATGCAATAAGAAAGGAAATTCAATATTGCACATCTAGATTTGCACAAAATATATGCCACTGTCATTTTAACTAATTTCATATATCAAAAGTACTAACAATACTATGAAACTTGATAGTTTACATATTGTAAGAGCTTACTTGAGTAAAACTAGTTCCCAAGTATGGTATCCAGCAACTTTTAAATTACTCTCAATGGCGGATCTTTCGTTTTCTCTTCTCCCTGTCAAGAATATAATCTTAAACCCCAAAGTTTTTAAGTTTTTGTACAACTTAAGACTCTTCGGCAATGCTGGGGCTGCTTCTGACAGGATCCATTGATGGAACGATTCGGGATCGTAAGGTTTCACCCTGAAATTATGTCATTAATAATATGAATTCATACTGGAATAAATTAAAGTAAATGAGAAAAATAGAAACCATTTCATAGGAAGTGACAAGAGAAACAAATATAAATATTATTTTTGTTCGAGTATATATATATATATATATGTATATATTATACGCTGTCATTCTCATAGTACCGGTGTCTCACAAATAAGTGTTGAAAAATGTTAGCATCACAGTTTCTGTCAATGTTTTTATTACTCTTTACTTTTATTGTTTGACATATGAGACTCCATTAACATAATATATTATTATTGAAACAAAACAAAATGAGATAGTAAGTTCACGTATCAAACAGTGATCATGCAAAGAGTGACAAAGAGTGACCCTAGCACTTTTCATAAGTGTTAAGTTGAATTAATTAGTTAATTAAGTGAATTAATTACCTTATTATACTTTTTTATTGTTCTTTCAATCATGCTTTCTCTACAACCGTTAGATTACTTTTAAATTATTTCAAACGGTCAAGATCTGATAAAGTAGTAGTATCCAAAAGCCCAAAGTAAAAGATTACATCTTCAAATTAATATTTGCTGAACCACGCATATAATTAAAACAATAAAGATATTGGGGCATATGTCATGTTATGGGAAAAGCGAAACACATATAGGTCCAATAATTTGATTATTATTATTATTTCTACAGAAATAGAAAGCCAATTATGGGACGAATTATTGTAGTTTTAGAAGTACTTCTTACGTACCCAAATCCATTTGTGGCGTAATAAGGTAGGTTAGAGACTGCAGTGTCATCTACATCAAAGAGCCACACGTCTTTGCCGTCGTCGGAAAGGGTATGGCTCTGGGCGTAGAGATAAGCTTCCTTAGTAACCACTTTTGAGTCCTCCCCGTACCGCTCGCCAAGCATGTAGCGCGCTACATAGAGCTCACATTTCTCCGGAACCGTTTTCCAGCCAATGATGTTGTTGGTCTCGACACCGTATTGCCAACTCGAGCACCATGCTCCGTTGCTGTTGCCGCCGAAACTGCCCTGCCGACGGAGAAGGTGAAGTTTGTTAAAATTTTTGTTAAGAGGATTATCGAGATCAGGTTGGGCTGTACTTGTTGCGGCAAGTACTACTGTGGCAAGGAAGTAATAGAGCAGCATTTTTGGCATTTGCTCAATGTTGCCTTGCCTTAATTTGCTTAAAGAAATTTACTTGACTCTTTGAATTGGCATGTATCTTCTTAAATAATATAATTCTTTGTCAAACGCCCCTTGTTTTGAAATATAATTACTTGTGGTGCCAAGTAATTCACTTTTTTTTAATATATATATTTTTACAATAATATTCGCAAACCGGGACCATACAAGTACGGAATATAAGTAAATATACATTATTGTCCAGAAAACGTTTTTTTTTTTTTTTTTTCTCTTTTGAAATTCAAAACAGAAAATGAAAACAAACAGTAGAAATTGTAGCATTAAAACCAAGAGGAATACGACAACAACACATTGTAATATCACATATGTATCTACGCATGGCACCCCCACAATTTTATTAATATGTATCTATGTTTTTGAGTAAATCCAAATTCCAAACTACTCAATTTATGAATAATGAGTGGAAAGAATTCAGTACGAACATACATATTGCGGCATGTCAATAAAAAATTACCGAATTCAAATATATACTACTTTCCAAGTTTGTATTTTTACGCAAATTAAATAATACGAGTGTTTGTTTCATTTGTGTATTTTTATTCCATATGTTCATTATACTACACATACACATATATTCTCTACATATATAATTGCATATTGACAAAAATAGATAAACTTGAGCGTTATTTAGGTTTTTACATTTCCTATAATTTTTCAGGTAAATACATGTATTTTTTTAATGCTTTTTAGTATTAATATCGACATCAATATATCAATCATTTTTATCATAAATTCAAAACCTCGATATTTCCGTCCATATCATTAATAGTGCACTTAAGAGATTTCATAAGGTGGGTCATTTGCACTTTGAGTAAAAAACATCAAGTAGGTCACTCGATATTGCACGACTTTATACGTGCTTGTTAACTCTATGATAACATAATTTTCTTGTGCTTGATTTTATTAGGCGGGTCTAGTACTCTTGCATTGACAATAATTGTATGGTCATATCATTTAGTAATTTTAGCTAGTCAACGAAGTTGTTGGTTATTATATGGGTGTCGGTCTTTTCGGATAGAAATGTCCACAACATGCAGTGGTGGAGCTAACCTTTTACTTCAGTGGGGTCGTACACTAAATTTCTTTTAATAAATTATCTTAGTGGGGGCATATAAGAAAATATATTTATTTTAGTGGGAGCATATATTATTTCAGTGTGGGTTTAAGTGTACAATTTTAAAATTTCTAAAGGTAATATTTTTTTCAAAAAAATTTAAGTAGGAGCGACTGCCCCGCTCATCTTCAGGTGGCTCCGCCACTGACAACATGCATGTTGCTTGTTACAGCAACATGTGCATATTTTTCGGCTTCGACATAAACAACCGGAACAAAAGTACAGTTTATCAGGATTGTTCCTGGCTAGGTTGATTTCTTATTGCAAGAGAAAAAGCCATGAAACGTTATATTTGTGGAAATGTATAATTGATGCTTGATAGCCACTATGTTTTTTCCGTAGTACTAGTTTCAACTTTATAGTTCTCGTGCAATCGTAGCCAATATTGAATATTGTATTTTATCAAAATCCACACATTTCTGATATAATATCACACACGTATAACCATAATTAATCACCAAATTACATATATATATATATATGTATTTATATGTCTCGTGACCAAATTAACTAGTATCATGAATTATGCGAAACATATATAACGTTTATCCTTTCAGAATTTTATAATGTTTGATATCAAATTTTGAAACGTTTATCCTTTTATGAATTAAGAAATTTATAAATGCATGTTCCTCCTTTCAGTTTTCTCTCTTAGCTAGCATTCAAGATTTCTAAATTTGATAGCATAAAATTCTTCATCATCTCTATAATTTTAAAGGATCTTCAACATAATGCCAAATTAATATTCCAATTCTAAATTTTGGTATTTGGATAGAAAAATCACTCTCCATTAATGCAATTCTATTTTGTATATACTATGCTTGGTGCAAATTTTAGCACCATATAGCCTAATTTGATATTTGGTATGTGTTAACCTTTTTATTTAATAATTGTAATAATAATATTGTAGTATTGTAATAATGAATTTATTTTCAAATCTTTATTATGATAAAAGTAGATATAGCATTTCAAGTAAAAAAGAAAAAAATAGACATATCATTCGAAAGAACATCGTGTATTGAAGCACAAAATTATATATGATATCATATTAAATATATTTATTTTTTTCATGCAACTCAAACAAGCCGCCTCTCTAATTCATTAAAAATAAAAGTAAAAAATAAACAAAAATAAAGAGGTTAAGAATCCAACCACAAGAGGTAAACTAAACAAAATACATAAAGCAATAATCTACAGAGAAGGCAAACAAAAACAATAGAAGGAAAACAGAGCGGTTTCATTTATACAACTTGGAATCCTTTCTCATTCCAAGACTCATAATTAAACCACTATACGGCCGCTCCTTCTTGAGAAAGTATATAATTTATGATTTTTTCTCTTGACTTGCAATATTGAAATAATATCAAATATGTCATATTTCGTACTTTTTGTACCAAATATAACATTAGCATTTACACTATATATAGTCCTTAGGAGCACGTGCATAAAATATCCAATACTTAATAAAGTGGCATATTTGTGATTTTTTCCTATATATTAAGAACATGCTTAGTTATTACAACAACTTAGGATGTAATTTATTTAGTTCAACTATATTATATATACACACACACACAGTGAGGCATATATAATTAGCCATGGCGACAATTCAACTGACGTAGTACATGGGGTCAGGCAATTTGAAAGTCCTACAACCGGTATTTGTCCCCAAGAGATCACTCCATTGATCCCCTATGTTCCCAACAATTTTATATCCAGCATCCTCTAACTTCTTTCTCTCAGCTGATTTGTACTCAACTGCTGTTATTGAATAATTTGAATCCCTGCAACCATAAAAGTATTGATATTATTGCACAAATTTCATAATATCAAGACCTTTGCAACTTGATTATATATATACAAATTTTATTAAGAGCTTACTGTTTGAATATAATTTTTTCCCAAGTTCGGTATCCAGCAATTAATAAATTATCCTCAGTGGCGTGTCTTTTGTCTTCGTTTCTCGTTGTCAGGAATACAATCTTAATCCCCAAAGCTAATAACTTTTTATACAGCTTTAAACTCTCCGGCAATGCTGGGGCGCTCTCCGTCAGGACCCATTCATTGAACAATTCGGCATCGTGAGGCTTCACCCTGAAATTATATCATTAATAAACACTTAAAATTATATGTATGCGTAAATTAAAATGTGATTGTAAAAAGAAAATTAAAGGAAAAAAAATAAAAGCATACATGCATGTTTCTGTGCGAGTCTATCTGTGGTAATAATTTATGATGTACCAAATTGAATCGTACGTGTCGACTTGTAAATTGATTGCTTTTGCTGGTTCATACGTACTCATGCATGCGTACGTACTTATAGAAAATCAGGTCCAATAATACTAGTTGTTGCACCACGTGATCATTATAGAAAACAATTAAGATATTTGGCATCTATGTCATGTGGCGGGACTAAAATTTTCTGTCCAATTTTAGTATTTAAAGTGGAATCTAACGATCCATGCCATATCATTTTAAACAAAATTAAAAATAACTCAAATTTTCATACTTACTTATCAAAGTATGTGACATAATATAATTAGTTAAATATCTTTTAAAATATTAAAAATTAAACACATGGTTTTAGTCCCAGACAAGAGCAAAACACATATAAGCCTATTATTATGATTTTTACTTCTAAAGATAGAAAGCTAAAAAGGGACGCATAATGTCAATATAATTGTAACGTAATCGTAGAAAACTCATCCACATATGATACATAAATATATATAGGCTTTTTATTCGGTCATTTTAGAGAGACCGTTCTTACAGCGTAATTTGTTGTAGTTATAAAAACGTAACATAACAATTATTGAATTTAAAACTGACTTTACAGAGAAGTAATATATTCTTTAGAGGACTAAATTTTTTAGTGTTATTATATGTTATATTTTCATAGCTACTGTGTTACTACGTTAGAATGACTCCAAATCAATACTAGGTACGTACCCAAATCCATATCTGGCATAAAAAGGTAGGTTAGAGAGTGTAGTTTCATCTATATCAAAGATCCACACGTCCTTGCCGTCATCAGCAAGGATGAGGCTCTTGGCGTAGCGATAAGCTTCTTTAACAACCGCTTTTGAGTCCTGCCTGTACTGCTGGCCGAGCATGTAGTTCCCTACGTAGAGCGCACATTCCTCCGGAACCGTTTCCCAGTCAATGATGTTGTTGGTCTCGACGCCGAATCGCCAACTCAGGCATGTTACTCCGTTTCTGCCGCCGGAACCATACTGCGGTCGGAGAAGGTAAATTTGGTTGACTATAACAGGACCATCGAAATCAGCTTGGGCTGTTTTTGCCGCAAGTACTATGGCAAGGAAGAAAAACAACATCATTTTATTTTTTGGACTCAATATATTCCCTAATTTGCTAAAGAAATTTACAATCTTTGAGCTGGTATGTGTCTTCTTAAATAATCTGATTCTTTGTTTAACGCCCCTTTTTTTTGGATATAATTACTTGTGTGTCAATTAAGAAACTTTCTAGATATTGTCACAAAAATATCTACAAGATGTACTCTCTATACAAATACAGATATTTTCCGCAAAATATCCATTATTATCCAGAGAAAATGTACTTTTCCTTTTTTTTAATGTAAAGAAAAAAGGAAAAAAGAATCACGTCTTATATTTTTGATACTGTGTTTCCCTACAATAATAAATGATGATGATGTTGATGATGATAAAACATTTTGCCACATGACATATCCTACGCATGGCACCCATATTAATTAACATATATCTACACTTTCGAGTAAATTCAAACTACTAAATTTATGACTGATGAGTGGAAAGAAATCAAAATCAGTATCAACCTGTATATTATGCTATGCCAATAAATAATATTTTCAAAATTATATAAGCATTATATCTTGAGAAAAAAGTACTGTTTGAACCAGGATGAGGTGCAATCTCATGTCCTTAAACCTTCAGACAGATCATTTTTGTTCTGAATTTTAAATTGTACAGAATATCTGAATTCAATTATGTACTACTTTTTATGTTTGTATTGTAATGTAAAATATTATGAGCTGTTATTTCATTAATATGTATATATTTTTTTTCATTATATGCTCGTTACACTACACGTATATATCTTTTTTATATATGTAATTACATTGACAAAAATAGGTAAACATAAATATTATTTTAGTGCTTTTATATGTCCTATAATTTCACTTAAGATTTATGTCCTACTAAATTATAATTATTTTAAATATTATAAGTTTATTTTTTCAACTTTCAAACCTTTATTATTATGATAAAAGATATATATATCATTTCATAAAAAAAGAAAAAGAAAAAAAAAAGATATAGTATTTAAATAATAACGTGTGTTGAAGCACAAAGTAGATTAACATATAAAATATGTTTTAGGAAGCAATTCAAACAAATCCGCATTGCATTTATTAAGAAAAGAAAAAAGATCAAAAACAAAAGTAAAGAGGTTTAGAATTCATCCACAAGGCAAACCAAACAATATACACAAAGCATCAACTCTACAGAGAAAGGAAACGAAAACAACCGGATATCAACACACCAGTTTCGTTTATATAACTTGAAACCCTTTTTTCTTTTGAACTCGAAGAGCATGAGCATTTTGCTTTTCAGAGTCAATTGTTATGTCTTTTCGGAGATTATTGAATTCCGTCAATTTATCCCGACTTATAAAATCACCATCTCTATTTCTTAAAATAAAATAAAAAAAATCACTACCTCTATTTTTTTTAGCAAGTATATAACTATCAAGTTTCTCTCTTCGTTTGACACTCATGTGATATCAAATATATACGTCGTTTTCCTTTTTTGTTTGCACAAAATATTACATAAAATATCCAATACTTGATGAAGTGACATTTATGACATTTATGATTTTATTTTCCTATTACTGTCTTGCATCATTTTTCATGGTATGCGATGCAGTGCAAGAATGAACTCTTCCAAGCAGCCTAGGGATAGAGAGTAGTGTGATCATCAACCAACATTATTGCATTTCTTTAGTTGTGCATAAAAAGCATGTCTCAAAAAAGATAAATTAACTTGTTTCACACAAAAAAAAAAATTTTTCATGGTATGCGATGCAGTGCAAGAATGAACTCTTCCAAGCAGCCTAGGGATAGAGAGTAGTGTGATCATCAACCAACATTATTGCATTTCTTTAGTTGTGCATAAAAAGCATGTCTCAAAAAAGATAAATTAACTTGTTTCACACAAAAAAAAAA